GTGCATTATAGTGCATATCAACAAAGAAAAAACTATAAGAATGGACATTTTTATTATCAACTGATATATTAAAAGAAAACGAATAGAAAATTAGAAAAGAAAGTTCAATTACTTAAATGTTTGAATCTTGAAAATTGAATCAAAACCTTTAGATAAAAACTTTAAACTTTCTTATTTCTTTGTTCATTTTTAATATTAGAAGTTCAGAAAGCGTTCAAACATTTCTTGGATACAAATCAATGTCATCCCAAAATCAATCGATTCAAATAAATAAACAAAAAAAAAATAGGTGTCTTTTATTTGTATTCATTCAGTCGACTTTCTTTTCGATTCAAAACAATTTTAATGAAGGTAATTTAATAAGTATTTTTTAATAGTTTCACCCCTCAAGCAAGACGACAACGCCACTAAGACACAATGGGTTTATAGTGAGTGAATGAAACTGAGATGACTTTAGTGAGAAGAAGTGGAGAAAAGAAGTTGAACAGGACTCCTTGTCGAACTTTTTACCTCCGGGCAGAGAGGAATCCAGATGAGGCTATGCTGAAGTCTCGTCTAAGGAGGTAGACAGCCACCCAACACCGTGGGGTCTACGGGGAATTTTAGCCCCTATGTACGCGCTCGGAAAGTCTCACGTTAAAAACCGGCCTTGTGCCAAATCTCGCTTTGTGAGGAGGGTTCAGGTAAATACCGAAATGGAGTAAAGGAGGATAAAGGAACAGTGTTCAAGAAGGCAGAAGAGGGTGATTGGCGTTGCATTTAAATTTTTTTTAAAGATTGTAGTTCCACAGATGAGGAGTGCGAGACAAAAGGAATTAAAATAGAACACACGGTTGCATCTAGTAGCAAATATAAATTTGGGCCGACGGGGCACTAAAAAGAACAGCTCATCAGAACAGTTGCCAGGAAAATATTTGTAGAAAAGACAGAGCAAGGCTATGTTATATCGGAAAGTGACTGAAGTTAAGATACCAGGTAAATATTTATTATATTACAGACCTTTTTTGATTCGATATCAATAAATATTGCAATATTATGCTACTTTCCCGAGTAAGGAAGGTCTGTCTGCTGGCTTGAATTATTCTCCTCCCATATACAGTGAACCTTCATGAAATGGAGGGTCATCGCTCTCCACGTCTTCATATTCTTCTTAGTTGCCTTGCATTGGATACTGCTGCCATATATGGTCTGGTGCCCCCGCTGTTTGCCTTAAAGTCCTCGAAAAGATCTCGAGAAGGATATGCAATGTGGTTGGTTCTGATCTGACATCTCGTCTACAGTCGCTCTTTCACAGACGTGCCGTCGCCTCCCTCTGTCTTTTCTACAAATACTTTCACGGTAACTGCTCCGACGAGTTACTTTCGCTAGTTCCTAGACTGCGGGAATTTAAGCGTGCTGCTAGGCTGGCATCATGGTATTGAGAACTGGTAAAAAATGGTGGCTGAAGATTTATTTATAAAATGATACATAGATGCCCTTGGGGACATCTATGTATGAATTTCTGGGCATTATAAACCTAATGTCTTAAGCCACTATTTTTTACCAGTTCTCATATTGTAATTTTCTCTGACACTTCTTATTACTGGTTCCCATATTGTATTCATTTCTATACTTGTTTGGCTCAGGAGATTTTTCTGTCTAGCATATGTGCTGATTCCTTAAGTTTACGAATTTTCCAATAGTGTTCTTTGTCTATGATCTCAACCTGATACAACAGAGGGCGGTGATCTCCATAAGACTTCATCTCGGAAATATAGACAGACACTACGCCTTCTTGGCCTCACGTTTTCCACTGACATGAAGTTGAGCGACGATATCGGATCAATTGCTTCGTCTACTACAAGGAAATTTGCCGTGGCAGAAAAATTTCATCTTGCACATTTACAAATCTATTATTCCTCCGTGCATTGAATACTTTTGCCATATCTGGTCTGTTGCCCCTGCTGTATATCTGCAATGTAATCGATCCTGACTTAGCATCTCGACATTAGTCATTTTCTCACCGACATGACGCGGCTTTCCTCTGTCTTTTCTACAAATATTTTCATAGCACTTGCTCTGCCGAGTTTTTATTCCTGGTGCCTCGACTGCATTAATTTAAGCGAGCTACTAGATTGGCATCTAGGTCCCACACTTTTATGTTGAAATAGATAAATGCAACCACCACTTCTACTCCAACAGTTTCTTTTCTCGCAATTCGCGCCCGTGGAACTCGCTTCCGTTTACTTGCTTCTCTAATAACTACAATCTCCCAAAAAATAAATATAACGTCAATCGCCATCTTCTATATTCTTGAACCTTGAACTCACTATTCTCAATCTTCCCTATCTCTTTTATTTATTAATGGTTTACGGGAATGGTGATTGAATCAAATCACGATATTTCTGTTACAAGTGAGATAACGGTGATTATACAAGAGTACTGGTCTACAAACAGGCTTGATTTAAAAAAAATACTCCTAACTACAAAGCATGCTATCGTTATTCTATAAGATGAGCAAAGACAGTTTCGTCATAGAGATAGTGATCTTCTTCTTCTTCTTCTTCTTCTTCTTCTTCTCTGCTTCTTCTTTTTCTACTTCTCTGCTTCTTTTTCTTCTCTGCTTCTTCCT